TCCCCCGGCGGCGCCCCCCCAGCAATCTCTTTAAATTAATGAAAGAAAAAAAAATCACTAAAATATCTCATGAAATCTTAATTTTGATGTGTCTCTCAGCTAGTTCAGGCAGTAAAATATTATTAGGTTCAAGGATCATCTAAATCTAATCGTATATCATGTAATCTAGCAACTAGAAAAAAGAAATCTTGACATTTTATTTGAGTAACTAATCACTTGATCAAAGATGCCTAGATATCTCATCAACCCAAAATGGAAAATCTTGAATTAAAAATACTTAACAAGTGCAGAAAGTATACCACTAAAGGCAATGCCAGAGGAGGCAACCACACAAGTCTGGATAACAGTGTTCTTTTGCCTGGTAAAGGGTTGCTTCAAAAGGCCAGACCTTTCAACAAACTTTGTCCAGGTCTTGATGAAAAAGAACCCCAAAAGACCAGCAGAGACATTGAGGGAAGGTATGATACCAGTTGTAAGATTGAGCTTCATAACTATGAAGCTGAACAAAATACTCAACACAAAGCTGACCACAAAGGCCCTCAATGTCAGCTGATTCCTCCATGAAGGCACTTCTTGATTCTCAAATACCCTTTCCACTGACAACCCATTTTCCTCCTCTTTCTTGTCCTCCTTTTTGCGATCATCATCTCTTCCATTGTGATCCATTTTCTTTTCTTGAAAAAAAAATGATACTTTGTTTTAGTGAATCTTTACGAAGGCTGGATAGATGGGACTGTGCTAAGCAAGTCAAGGTGGTTAAGATTATTGCTCAACACGCCAAGAAAGTTAATGAAGAGATAGAGACACGCTAGGAACTGTCCAAGCAACTGGGGATGATGTCGGTGATCGAAAGAAGACAATTTATTTGACTCATGATGTGAGGCCTATTGAAGTAGACCCATCCATTCTAAAGCTTTTTAAGTTCAACTTTTGTTTTCAATTCTTTAAAAAACTATATATTTATATCTTATTGGCAATATTTATAAATTTATCTAAGTTTTTATTTGGAGGTATAAAATTTTCTTCAAACTAAATATTAAAGTAAAATTATGAGTTGTCAAGCTTGATTTAACTGAGTAGTCCATCAATTTAAAATATAATTTTAATTAAGTTTTAAATTAAATATAAAAACTAATTTAATTAGAGTTGGTTTAAAAATACAATGCAAATTATATTTCTTTGTTATATTTTATTAGCTATATGTATAAATTTATCTAAGTTTTTATTTAGAGATATAAAATTTTCTTCAAACTAAATTATTAGTTGTTAAGATTTGATCGGGTAGTCTATTGATTTAAAATATAATTTTGATTATGTTTTAAATTAAATGTGATAACTGATTTAATTAGAGCTTATTTGAAAATGTGATGCAAATCATATTTCTTTGAATTTTAAATTTTTTTAAATTTAAAATTTTTTTTATTGATATCATAAATAATTTTTAAAAAATAAAAAAAAAAAAATATTTCTAAGTAAAAAAATAATTTAAATCACAATTACTATCACAATCTCAAACATAATTGAAAAACCTTATAAATAATCCTTCAACTCGATAGTTGCAATCAAAACTTGATATTCTTTCAAAACAATATTAATTTAACTTTAAAAAAATTAACCTAGTCAGTTCATAATTCAGACCCGTACACTTTATAACCTAAACTCTTACCGTCCATAATTCGAATCTTGAACCATTGGCCAAGTTTAATGACTTTGCTGGATATGAGGTTAGCTATATCTATAATTAGAGGTGAGCCAAAAAAACTAAAAATCGATTAAACTGGAAAAAATTTAATTGAAAGAATCGAATTAAAAAAAAAAACTAAATAAACCAATTAAAAAGCTTAAGACAAAAACCAATTCAGTTTGATTTTGGTTTTTGAAATATTAAACAAATTGAACCAAACCGGTTCAACCAACATTTAAACCTATTATAGAAGGAAACCCAAAAATTAAACTTCTCAATCCTTCAGCTCTCAACCACCCCTTCTCTCAAATGTCTTCCCTCTCTCACCACTTTTTGCTCTTTGTCGCCCCTATTCTAAATATCTTCCCTCTCTCACTACTCTCATTATTGTTTGATTCTATGGAAATTTAAAACTCAAAGCTTTATAAACAAAAGTTTTATAAACAAAAGATGAAGAGATAGAAAACATTTGCCCTAATTTCTATCTTTCTCTCTTTCATACTATATATTCCACCATTATTATTTATAAACAAAAGATGAAGAGATAAAAATGTTTTTGTTGTTTACTTTTGCATAAAAAAGATATGGATTAGGGATTTTTTGTTATCTGATTTAATTAGAGATAGTTCAGTTTCATGGATTTTACAAGGTTATTTTAGGTTTTTTATGAGTTGGTCCTTAACACAACTAAAAGATTGATATCTTATCCTAAATGCAGGAGTATCGAAGTAAGAAATAACCCAACAAGACCGGAGTCAAACCACAGAAAGATTAACTATATGAACTACAAATAAAAAAAAATAGATAATAACAAAAAATAAGTTTAATAAAGCTTTGAGATGTGATATTGATATAAGGATTAAACAAGGATAAAAAAAAAA